AAATAGACGAGACATTTACATAAAAATTAATTATCTTATGGATATGTAAAAGGCACCTGTCAATTATTATTAATTCTCAGTGGGCAGTACTTAAATGAAAATCTAGTTTTCAATTTATTCTAGAAAGTTTGCCAATTTTAGAATTTCTAGGAAGCTATTACTCTAAAAGTCACAGGACAAGAAAACACTTCCAATGAGATCATTTTCCTAAATGTGAGTTTCTCATTATCATGGAGTGGAATATTTTATACTCATGAAAATATAAAATAGTAACAGAATCCATAGTCAAAATATTTAAGATGCATTTACTTATACACTTTATTGAATTTCTTATACTAATGGGATTACTTGAGATTGAAAGTGCCCCTTTAGCAACCAAAATTGCTAAAACTTAACAAGTAGTTACAAATAATTTATACTCACTGAAATAACAAGTTTTCTGAACAATAAAGCCTTTAAAAGGAAACTTATGAGGAAGATATTAACTGGGATATTTCTTCTGTTATAGTTCCTGACAACTCTAGTGACTACCTTTTGTACCAGAACTCTACAAGTATGCATTTGTGTGCTTGATAATTAAAGTTCAGAGTAGCAGTATAATTTGTATACTGTCTATGCCTCATCATTATATTATATTGTATATTATTTAAATCAAAAGTCAACAATTTAAAAGAATGTTACATAGGTCCTTATATAACGAGAGAAATCAGTTCTAAGAAATTTTTGTTGATAAATTTCAAAGCATAATAATAACTTAGTATGAATTTTTGCCATACATGACTACTAATAAAAAGAATAGATGATTGAAATTTGAATTTTACATAAATTCTTTTGTGCCACAAATAATTCTCATTTTAACTTTTTCAATCATTTACAAATGTAAAAACCATTCTTAGCTCACAGGCTCTGTAAACCAAGCAGTGGATCAAATTTGTCTCATGGACCGTATTTTACCAACCTTTGCGCTAAATATTACATTATCTTACAACTGATGTTCTATTAATTTGTTTTCAAGAGTTAAATTAATTCAAAATTGATGTAGCAATTCACTCCCATTAAGGAATTATTTCTATGTGATTCAAATTCCAAAATTAATTTTAGAAAACATTAAAGTGTTTATTACTTAGAGTAAGCACTAGATATGTGAAAGTCATATGTTTGATCCCCCTGCTAGCCATGAGCTATAGCAACCACATAGCTAGAGGCTGTTACTATGAAAATGATTGACGATACATGGCCTCAGGAGTGGGAAGAATGCACCAAATTCATGAAAATCACTGTTGGTATTAGAAAAGTGAGTCAACATGCATGCTCAACTTTATGACTACAGCCCAGGTACTTATGCATGCATCATATAATAATAATTTTATCAGTACTTTATTATTATATTCTAGTTCTTTCTTTCTCTGGACAGGAATTGGGGGGAAGAGGAGGAAAGAGGCAACTTTAGAAAGAATTACAAGATTGTGTTTTAATAATCTGAGGATCTGTCCAGGTGCATTCCAGACTCCACAGGAATGATCCTCTGCTCAAGCAATCACCCTCATCTATTGCTGATTTTAACATATTCTTTAGTACTTCCTTCAGGGTAATTATCAGGTATAGGCTTTATATCAGTTAGAGAAAAGAGAGAATGCAGGGAGAAGTTTACTTCTAATTAAGTCATTCATATGCCACTTGGTGAACAGTAACTAATCTCAGAGTAAGGCTCAGTATACCTGAGGCCAGAGAGCCTCTATTACATAATCTGTAAGAATAAAAATGAAAGCAAAACTACTAGTTGCCTTACTACTTATAACTGTTCCTTCTTCTGGGGCAAGTCAACCCCATTCCCAACATCTTAATGATCAGAAAGAAGCTGTGGGCTCAGAAGAACGATTATAAAATAAAGAGATGACTCCCTTCTCAGGGCATGTCTCTTAGTAGCAAGTGAAGACACCAACAGCCTTTGCGACTCCTCAAAGACCAAGCCCTTCCATAGGAATCTGTCTCTATACTTTCATGAAAAGGATCAAATAATAACAAACTCATCTTGACCAGAACAAAGAGGAAAGACCTGGGGCTGGTTCGATACTTTTGTAATGTCAAGTAGGGCACTAGTAGGCAAAGAATGTGGTCCTTCCAACATATGTTAACCTCTGACAGAAGAGGAGTAAGTAGAAACACCAAAAATGTAAGCACATGGGCCTGGTGGTTTAGTATATATATTTGTATACACATATACACAGGAACATAAAAAGGGTGGGGCAAGAGTAGGTTTACAGCTCTTTTCATGGACAATATTATATAATAAATAATAATACAAGAATAAATTCTTATTTGCATAATCACAACTGTGAATGTACTTCTGCCCACCCCTGTACATATACATGAACATGTATGTGCATGCATGTGTGGTTTTTTGCATAGAATCCTCCTAATGTAGTTTCCATGTTAATTAACCAGATCAACTAACATTCAGATTGAAGTGTACCTAACTCTCGGCTTACAGAGTCCTGTCCCATGAAAGCTCTCACATGCAGCCTTGGACTCACTTGGGATAACAGACCTGCTCCTGGTGAATCCAATGTAAATAAAGGGAGGAGGCCTTTGTTATTCACCTGAAAGACTGCCCTTTCATTTTCTTTATAGTCACTTCTCTCCACTTTAATATTGGTATTCAAGATTGATTCATGTTTTAATATAATGCCTTGTTCAAAATAATTATTATTGAAGTTACTGTGTAACACTTAAAAAAAATGCTATGCTGGTGGATGGTCACTGTCCATACACTGAATCCCAATCTTGCTGGTAAACATGTATGTTTGTTCTTCCAAAAAGGACAAAATATATGAAGTACCTTGGTAATAAGTAGACTTTGTTTCCTTCCAAAAAAAAAATCCTTAATAAATATTTTAAGATAAAATAAAAATTGGGAAATAAGTTTTTATTTTTTATACATTGCTGCAAATCACACTGCCAAAGAGATATTAAAAAGAAATTACTATATGCATCTTTAATTATCTGAAGTCATTTAGTTGTATTTTTGACACTTTAAGAACTGTCAACGCAACATATGGTAACCAAGAACTCCAACTTACATATTTAATACTGCTAACGATTTAAAATTTTATAGGTTCCTTAAGTGTATCAAATATTTGGGAGAACATTAAAATACTTCCTGAGCAAACCAAGGCTGGTAGAATACAGACCCAGGATTCAAATTTTGTGTCAGAGACAGACTCAGCCAGAGTTAAGCACCCATGAATATCTGCTCTCCTCAGACCTCAGCCACTCCTCTTTCCTGTACTAAGAAGATATATTTCAAAAGAAGGCTGTTTAATGTTGATCTGCCTTTCATTAGACCTCACGAAAACAAGCAAATATAAACAACTAGTAGAGCAATCAATCACATCAATATGTTTTAAACCTGAATACGGGTGGTGCATTGAAAAGACAGGACTGCATCCAGGCCACGCTAAGGGAAGGATGCTGCAAGAAATGTGCATTACATTGTAAGAGTGACCTCTAGTGCTTCCCTTTTTTGTTGAACTTCAGGAGTTGGAGGATGAATTATTTATGCCTTCTCTACAAAACTTTGCGTGTGCTTGTGTTGTTATTGTGCATTTGATTGATGCAATGTTTGCCACATGCCACCATTACAGCATTCCACGATTTTGACGAGGCACCAATATGCACCTTTTATAATACTGACTCATTCGATTCTTCTGACCCAAATTAAAACTGAATCTGAAACAGTGCAGCATCTGAGTGAAGTTCTCTTCTTTTGGAATGGTTGATATACCGTGCCTTTAAATGAGCTAATAGTGAATGCAAATACACCATCACAGTAGCCATCCAATATAAATGGACATTTCCCTTGTACCCAGAAAGGGTCTTTATAATGTTCTTCCCATACCAGAGCACTTCAGTGTACTCAAGGGATGTGCCATAGCAAACACCTTGTTATTACTGGCTTTATTTGTAACCACCCCAACCTAACCCTGGTTACACAACAGCAAAATAAATCCCTGAACAGGCCCCATACTCCTTTCTTGAAAAGCAAATGAGCTTTTCCCTTTAAAATCCAGGAGAGATGAAAAGTTGTATTTTCAGAGCTTGTTTATCATTCATCAAAGAGGGGGGAAATTCTTCCATTTAGGCACTTTTTAGCCAAATACAACTTTTAAAACTTTTTCTATCTCTAGTAAAAAGTGGATAGAGAGAGTTTCTGCCAAATTATTTTGAATAGTATTTAAATTAGAAATAGGATCTTTATACATTTTCCTTGAATCGATTCTGAATCAGAGTATTCAATCGCCAATAATTTCTGAAGTTAAAAATTCAAATCACTGGAGAATAATACTATTTTGGAAAAATCACCAGAATGCTTTTTCCTTTAGCAAAATGCAGGACTCCTGTCCCCTCTTCCAGGAGTGCTCTGCCCTCCTTTCAGCTGTGAGGGTACAGCTCCTAATGTTAGTTCACCTCCACCAAGCCTGCTCCCAAACCCTGCAGTGCATTTCAGTTACAAGCCTGGCTTCGTTTTAAAGATGCAGCCAGCAATCCGTCTGCCAAACGGCAAACTTCAGAAATCTCAGCTAATGCAGCAGAATGGAAAGTCTGCCAGTTGTTTTCTTGTTAAGACATAATTCCAATAAAATTCAGTAATCCTAAGAAAGGAAGAAATGGAAACATTCGAAGGCTATTCCCCGGTTAAGATGCTAATGTAATGTTTTTTTTACTAAAACTTGAGCTTTCTCAATGAATATTCAAAAACACGACAGGATAAGGTTCTGCTCACAGACAAAAAGAGAAATGAGACTTTGCATATTTTGACCAGACCCGGAGAGGAAAGACAGGTGTAAACCCAGACATATTTGCCAAAGGTTTAAGGGATGCTTCATTTAGAGCAACACGCTTTATCAATTGCGAATAATAATCCTAAAAACAACAAAACGAAAGTTGGAAGCCCCCCCGCCCCCCCCCCCGCAAGTTTAAACCATTGGCTGTGTACTTACAGGAATTCCCAGCTCTGACCCTGTTCCAGTTCTGAGTGGATGACAGAAGTAGCACCGTGAGGACAGCTCCGGTGACTGACCCCATGTTCGCATGGATCGGGCTCCCCTAAAAGATCTTGAGTGGCCCTCCCAGCGCTCAGGTCCTGTTCGCAGCCCCTCTGCTGCCAGTTCTGTCTTCAGCACCTCTGGGTCTCTCAGCCTCACTCCCTCTTTCCCTCCTTCCTCCAATCCTCCCTCTCTCTCTCTCTCTCTCTCTCTCTCTCTCTCTCTCTCTCTCTCTCTCTCTCTCTCTCTCTCTCTCTCTCTCTCTCTCTCTCTCTCTCTCTCTCTCTCTCTCTCTCTCTCTCTCTCTCTCTCCCCCGCGCTGGTGCACACACCCCCCCCACAGCCCTGACTCCTCACTAAAAAGCACCCAGCATCTTTCCTAACGAGCATCCACGCCGCCGAGGCCACGCCCACCCCTCGCAGCAGCGGTCCCGCAAATTGACAGCAGCATCCCTCCCTCCTCGCAATTCACAGCGGCGCTCAGAGCTCCGCCGCCGCCGGAGCTGCTGCGCTGCTGATGAAAGCTGGACCTGGAGGCGCGGCCTGCCGCTCCGGGCTTCCTCGGGGCTCCCCCTCCCCTCTCCTCTATTCTCCAATAAGCCTTAACCCCTCTGCTCGCCTCTGGAGATGTGGGGAGGGGGAGGGGCGAGGCGGCAGAGCCTCCCGGTTTTCTGGAGGTCTTGCATTTGGCAGAGCCAGTCAACTTACTGAGCTAATTCCTGAATATCCGGGAGGGCATCCAGGTAAAGCTGCGTTATGTTTCATAACAAAGGCATAAAATAAGACAGAGATAACTAGGCAGCGTGGATACACTGAAGCTAAAACTGTCCTAAGGGAACATACTTGCTGTTGTTTTCCTCTGTATAAAACTGTCCTCTTTAGCGGTGGTGCCAGGATTTTATCGGGAAAATGCCTCACATAGAAACAGACATTCCAGTTTAGCAGAAATTTTAAATCCTCTGGTAATAGTCTGCAAGGAATTAACACTTCTTCTTTTAGTACATCAGGTGTACAAATCCACACATTAAATGCTGTGCGTACATTTATTTTGATGAATGCATTAAGCTGTGAATTCGGTTGCATTCTACAATAGAATTCTTCAATAACATTTCCCAAGAAACCATAAATGAAAAACGAGGGGATACTGAAGAAAGGAAACCACACACACATACACACATACTCACACCCAACCTAAACAATATACTGGTACAGTTGTAATTCAAAGGATCTAAAGGAGAAAAGTTGAATTCAGGAGATAAAAAAAAAAAAAACTACAGAAAAATTACTCTTCTAATAGCTGATCCATAGCTATTGCTATTTCTTGAATAGAATATTAAAATATGTAAATAATGGAATTGATATCACATAATGAGCAGTATATCACATTGTGTCATAGGGAATAAATAATCTTTTTTTAAAATGTCAAGATATTTAACTCAAAATGAATCAGATTTTATAAGAAGAGAAATGCTAGAGTTCTCAAACACCTCTTGGTGATTACAAATGAGGAGAAACATAAGCCTTTCAGCAGCAGCAGCCTGGCTATGGAATGAGTGAAATAAAGAGAAATGACAAAAGCATCCCCCTCTATAACAAATGTTATAGAGGGGGATGCTTTTCCCAACAAGCAAAGCAGAAGAGATATTTGTGCTTTTCTGATTTTACAGATTAATAAACAAGAGCAGAGAATGTACTGAGTTCAAGAGGTCGTAGAGTTAGTAAAGTGCTGAAAACCGGACTTTGCTTTTCTGACTCTGATGTCACTGCTCTCACACTAGGACCTGCTGCCCCCCAAGTCACAGAACACCTCCTCCCTGACCCCTGTCAGTGGGAGTGAAAACCAGAGGCCCTAGAACACAAACAGCAGTGGAAAAGAGGGGCCATTTTTGAGTATTTACTCCACAGTCCTAGGCCTACAATCCTGATTTGCCTTTTTCAAACATAATATGTTACAGAAATATGAATCGACAGTTCCCGTTAATTATTGAAGGAGGTTACATTTTATTGGACACATGCAATATGTCATTTGTTATCTAATCAAATGATGGTGATCCCTGAGGGAAATGTCATTGTGCCTCTCTCACAGAAAAGAGACTAAACCTCAGTGAAGTTAAGCATGATGTTAAAATGCTACAGTGAGTACGAGAGAGCGAGCTGGGCTGGCATCCTGGTTTACAAAGCTCTGAAATCATTACTTAAATTGACTCCCACTCTGAGCAACGGGATCTCGGGCTCTCTGGAACAATAACCACAAAAAAAGTTATCCTCCTATTAAAAAGTTATATTTAATTTTTTCCACAGAATTAGAGGGGAAAAATTAAAAGGATCAGTACACATATCAAAAAATGAAAAATAACTGAACCTTTCTTGCCAATAATAACTTCTTTAGGACAAAGTGTGAATTATCATAGCAGCCATTAATAATGGATTTTTCCATATCAATGGGCTATGGTAATACAGTGAGCTGGAGGCTGGCACTGGAAAGGAAACCTGAGCATTTCAGGCCATGGCAACACCTGTCCCTGCCTGAGGGCCACGGAGGGGAGGGCTGCATGGGCAAAGGGAGACCCTGGGAAGAGCTTGGACACTGTATGGAGAAGCCTCGCTATAAATTCAGTTCTCACTGTGATTCTGATTAAGTGCCTTAGTTACTCTGTTCTTTCACTTCCTTTCCTTAAAAACAAAAATAATAATAAGACATCATGTGTGACAACCCCCAAAAAGGGCCTGGCACTTAGAAGGTCCTCAATTGCTCATTAGCCTTAGCATCCAGACTAAAGAGAGTGGTGATTTGAACAGGCAATGCTGGAATCTGGCAGCCCAGGCTCCATGTCTACTCCATTGCACCACCAACCAGCTGCATGTTCTTGGGCAAGCTGCGTATCATCCCTGATCCTGAGTTTCCTCAAATGCACCAAGGATAAGTAGAGTATCAATTCCATGCCTGAGACAATGCCTGTAAAGTGGAGGCCCCTAGAGTCACACATTCAATGTTGTTATTGTGACCATAATGATAACACAGCTCACTTTGCACAGATGAGGAATCTGATGAGCAGAGAAATTACAACTCCCCCAGAAGTACACGACCCATTGGTGGCAGAAAAGGGTCGGTCATTAAGACAAACTGACTTCTCCCTTCCCTCCATAGTGGTGCTTAATGTCAGAAAAAAAGACAAAAACGAGTCTGAATGGGAAAAATCAGAAAAGTGTGGAGATCTCATTTTGTACATTACTGTACTGCTGATTCAGACACCACGAATCACTTCTCCCTGTGTATGCATTTGTGGTTATATTTTCCACCAGTTAAGATAAAAACAACTGCTGGTGCTTAGGGTTTGGCATATGCATATTATGGGCCAGACCGTGTCTGAGAAAGCATTATAAATCAAATCAAAACGCTACAACTTGTAAAATACAGCTTTTAATCTTTTCTTGGTACAACTTGCCAGAGAACTATGTGTGCCACCAAGGAGGTACACAGAGGCTCCTGGACTCTAGTTTAAATTGGAAAAGAACCATCCGGCCATAGTGGAACAAAGTCACATCAAAAGACTAGACAGAGACTAAAATGCGACTCCTTTATTCATGTAACAATTGTTTTATCTGCTGCCTGAACTTCTGATCTGGTTTCTGGGTTTCTTACAAAGACAGTTGGTCAATACAATTTTGTTAAGCATCCAGGAAAAGGAAAAGTCTACAGACTTCCTATTCTGGACTTGTGCTAATAGTCACTACTCAAAATTGATTATTTAAAAAACTAAAATAGATTTGAGGTATGATATTGTCATTAATAAAAAAATATATGTTTGGTCATTCAGATGACCAAAATATATTTCTCATATATATTTTGTCTTCCTTCATGATTCCTGGCTCACTAAAACCCCATGAATTTTCACTGATAAGTTTTCTTTTGTTAAGATAATGAGGTTATTATTGGAAAGACCTTAGGGTAACCTAAGGGGAGGAAGGGGGAATAAGGGTTGTTGGCAGGAGAACCAACAACTTGATTAGACTGTTGTATCTGCAAGTCCTCCCAGCCTCTTATTCCCCTAACAACTCCCCAACCTCCTATCCCTGTGCAAACTCAGTCTTCAGCCTGAGTTCAATTGCCAATGGCCAATGATTTGCTCAATAATAACTTTAATAAAACCTCCATAAAAACCCCAAAAGTATTGGGTTGGAAGAGCTTTCAGGTTGGTAAATACTTGGAGATCTGGGAAGAGAGGTGCCCCAGGAGAGAGCATCAAAGCTTTGCACTCTTTTGAGGCAGGAAAATCAGAAGAGGGAACAAAGGCCTCAGGCTCTACCCCTTTCCCTTTCCATCTTGGCTGGAACAAAGCATACATGTTATTCACTGACCACCTGCTGTCCCACTTCCCCCTCCCCAATTTCCTATAATTGGGAGGCCCCAAAACAACTGCTATTGGGAGAGGAGGCACAAGAATGAATTGCATCAGCAGTAACCCCATAGGCCTCAGAAGCTGAGTGCCATCCTATTCCCCCTCCACTTGCCCATATTTAATAAAATCCTTCCACCTAGACCTCCTTGGCTCATCTGGTTCTCCTACATCACCCACACTTACTTCTCAAGTACATGCTATCACTTTAATAAATGCACTGTGCTTTGCTAAATCTCTCGTTATGAGACAAGACCCTGGATTGGGTTGAGGCGTGCCCTGCCCTCCCCAAGGGGGTGCAGGGCATTGCTTTCACTATACCTTGCTTGCCCTGAGTGTCTCTTCCATCTAGCTCTTCCTTACATATGAAATTGGTTACCTAGTAAGTAAAATGTTTCTCTGAGTTCTGTGAGCTGCTCTTGTCAATTACTCGTACCTGGAGAGGGTGTTGTGGGACCTCTGATTTACAGACAGTCAGTCAGAAGCACTAACAACCTGGACTTGCCACTGGTGAAATGGAAGGAGGCAGTCTTGTAGAACTGAGCCCTTCACCTGTGGAAAGTGATGCTACCTCCCTGTAGAGAGCATTAGAACTGAGCTGAATTCTCAGACACTTAGTGTCTTAGAAATAATTGCTTGTTAGTGTGGAGAACACCCACACATATTGAAATTAGTCTCAGAACACCTGTCTATGAGACAGTAACATTTTTTTGCAAAAGCCCTATCCCAAATATATTTATATTAAATATAAACAATGCTTTTATGCTATAACCAGTAAACATACAAAAATATGAATTGTTGTCATTGAGC